GGGGAATTTCAACGGATCTTTTATAGAACACACTATGAGCTTATTCAATCATTAATTGAAAAATTATGGATCGCCAAAAATTTAAAAGAGGAAAACCGCAAAATTTTCTCTGGTTAATATTATTCATTGAAAGGAGGAGTTTAAGCTAGATGTTGAAAAAAGAATAGAAACAATTATCAAACTCATAGGTTGAGAAACTTTTGCAATGAATGTCAAACATTTGTGCTGCAGCAATCAAGGCTGATGGAGGATATTTTGACGGGAGCAAAATTTAATCATATTTTTTTTTTCTTTTTGTCATAACAAAAAATCTAATCAAAGATCATATTCCCCTTTTTTAACCATGTACAATGATTTTCTCTTATTTAAAGTACAAAACAATTAATTTTTGAGCCAGTTAAAAAATTACCATTTTGAACTGTAGTGTATATATATATATATATATATATATATCCGAGGATGCCCATCTACTGGGCGGCTAGCTAATCCCCGCTGCAGAGGCCTGGTCTGTTACATTTATATTTGTTCAACATCCCCAGAGCTCGCCTTAGATACAGTTTCCGTGACAGTGCACATTATCTAGCGTGATCACAAGTTTTAACAAAGCTAGCACGCTCAAACCCGCGGTCACGATGACTTGTGACATCGTTCTAGCACAACCACCGGCCCTCCAAGTGTTCCGTCTACTCAAATGCTGTGCGCCCTTGTCAGAAGCGGGCAAAAATCAAATCGAGTTTGGACCACGTTCGGCAACACCGGACTGAGTCCCTCCACGACTAACAAATTTAGCCCGATGAAAGCTTAAATGACAAAACGCGTCGCACGAAAACTTTTTTCTAATTTGTCATACATTTCCCCCAATATTGTTCTTGATACATAAAAATATCTATCGTCACCACACACACACACACACACATTAAATTAATTTAGATTTAAATATATTTTTTACACTTTTGTGGGGTAGTATTAAGTTGATGTAAGGTGATTTAAAGAGTGGTGAGAGAGAGAGTGTGATAGACATGGTCGAAACTAGAGAAGGAAGGGAGAGATAGAACGATTTTAAATCTATTTTTATTACAATACTTAATAGTGAGGAAGGTGTTTTCATTAAATTATATATATATATATATATATATATATATATATATATATATATATATATTATTTATTTATTTATTATAATTTTATCATATAGACAAAACCATTTTACTCACTCCAAAGATGCAACTTCGTTTCAGTGCATTTCAACTGCACTTCGACGGGTGAGAATCGAAAATGGTTATGAAGAATCCTGCTTGTATGCAAGCCGTATGTGAAACATCACTTCCTTTTTCCACTTCTTCGATTGACTAAAATTGTCTTGTCTATATGATAAACTTATAATAAATAAATTATTATCGCTCTACTATCAGTATCTAGCCTACTTTTGGATTAATGCTCTGAACGTTGGAATTTATATATTACTTTCATTCTCATCGCATCGCACACACACACACACACATATATATATATATATATATATATATATATATATATATATATATATATATTCGAATAAGATGTTGGATATCAGGATGAAAATTGTGGATAAACTTCCCGAATTTAGTGTTTGTTCCGTCTATTAATTTTTTTGTTGTTTTTTTTTTTAAGTAGATTTGAGCTTCTCATTCATTATTATGAACCTAGTACTGATAGTGTGGTGAATGCACATGCAAAAATGAACGTTACAAAATTACATGCAAATGAACAGAATCCAAAATAATTCCAGTTTCATCTTCGAAAGACGCAGATACTCGATGCATAGACCAAAAATCTGTTAACAGTTGCTTTCTTAGTTATCTTCCCAGATTATGCTTTCAGAATTGTATAATTTATTTTTCACATGTATCAAGATGTTTGCTTGGTTTATTTAGTTAATGTAAAAGACATTTTTTCTTACAAATTTCAATGTTAATGTTATGATACAATATATTTCTGTTTCCTTTATATATCTTCGTTCTTTTTCCTGTAAACTTTATAATTCTATCCTTTCTTTTAGTGTCATATAAGAAAAAAAATAGTCAAGACACTTTTTGCATTATTTCAGAGTCTTTATAAATAGTGGACTAAATGAGGAAATCCGTAGCAAAAGGTGCTTTCCAAAAGCTAAGTAAACTATTAAGTAACAAGAAAATTTCGTTGACAACTAAGAAAAGTGTACTGTATCGTTATGTAATACCGGTTATCTTATATGACAGTGAAGGCTGGACTTTCTCATCACTGATGAATTAAAAACTTGTGGCAACAAAAATGTAGTTCTACTGCGAATACCATGGATTAAACATGTGGTTAACGAGGAAGTTTTTTTGATAAAATCGAAACAAAAAGGACACTTATACTTAACATCCGAAAGAGACAATTAAAATATCTAGGGCATATAATTAGAAAAAAGTACTTGCAAAATCTAGCTCTCAGAGAACATATTGATGGCTAAACGGTCAGAGGAAAATAACCTACCTAATGAGCTTGACAGGACAGAGAACAAGAGATATAATGAAAATACAAACTTCACTAAGAGATCCAAAGGGCAGAAGATTGTAGAGATCTATGTTCTCTCACGCACTGAACGGACATAGCACATAGAAGAAGAAGAAGAAGAAGAAGAAGAAGAAGAAGAAGAAGAAGAAGAAGAAGAAGATAAATGGTAATCCAAAAGTGCAATATTTACGGAACATATTGAATGTGTTTATGGCGGACATAAAATGGAAGACAATGTAATAAAGGGAGCAATAAGAAAGGACGAATTATCAATTGTAAGGAACACATAATATATGGTTGACAGCAAAAGCCGATAATGCCAACTACGAATTGGAATTATCAACATCAAACAAGTCTGCTTCTATGTGGCATGACCCTTCAGAACGTAGGCAATCATGGCTCTCCACATTTTCCTCTTCTTTGTAGGCCTATAAGAAATTTTGTCTTGATTCGCCATCCGTTTACTCAAGTTCACTAAGTAGGTTATACATTGTTTCCTTTTATCTTTCTTCACTCTGTCCTGTGAGTATTAGATTTGCCAAGCCGTCTTTCCTCGTTATCCGCTCTAGAAATTTCATGGGTCCCTTCCCGAGGCTTAAAAGTTTAAAATAACTGGGAAGTGTTTGAATATTAATGAATATACATAATATTCCACCTCCATAGCAAAACTCGGAGTTTCATGCAAATACGCAATCTTCAGGTGCAAATTACTCCCTAAGCATTAAATTATGATATTCGCGTTCTCGTGGTGTTGATTTAAAATTGTCTATTAAGATTTGTTTATTTAATTATTGTTGCCTATAATATTACATTAATTATTTATAATTTATATCGTTCGAATTCTTAAGTTCGAAAGACGAAAACTTAAAAAAATATTTTGAATGAAGATTGCGTGTTTGCATGAAACTGAGTCGTGCTATCGATGTGGGATATTATGTAGATTCATTAATACATACATACATACATACATACATACATATATATATATATATATATATATATATATATATATATATATATATATATATATATATACATACACGTGTGTGTGTGTGGTCAGAGTTGAATCAAACCAGTATTATTAACAGTATTAAACATTATATACAGTATTATTAAAAGGATCAACACAAGTGTGAAAAATTCATAAATAAAAATAAAAAGAAAAGAAAAGCTTTAACTGTAAAAATCCGGAGGTCAATTGAATACTTGACCTTGGTTTCGACCTCACGGTGTCATCAGGCGATCCTCCTGATTTTTAAAGTTAAAGCTCTACACGTATATATATATATATATATATATATATATATATATATATATATATATATATATATATATATGTGAAAAATATATAGAAAATAGGAAAGAACTCGTAAATAATACAAAGTTCGTTAGTATTTTTATTATTTTTAAAAATAGTGTTCGATAATAATAGTGCTTAATAATGAATATGCTTATAAAACACGCAAATTTCAGAAATAAGTTATTCTAAAAATTTCGTTTGAAGATGGAACAGAGCTTAGTACTTTAATTCAATTTAATTCAAATAATTATATTGAAGTTTTCGGCTCTTGTTTTGAAACATGAGAACTCATATTTTTAAATAAATAATTATATATATATATTATATATATATATATATATATATATATATATATATATATATATATATATATATATATATATATATATATATATCTGTTGTATAACACTGAACACTGTTTTTATAACACCTGAGACCTAAGATAAATGTACGTGCAAGTATATATGCATATAGGTATATTTTTATCATACCCATTTCTATATCTATCTATCTATCTATATCTATCTATCCATCTATATATATATATATATATATATAAGGTATGCATATTTCGTTTCTTTTTACCTCTTTTACTTTTATGTACTTCAACCTTGTATCTATTTTCTGTTCTCTTTTTCTCTCTCTCTTTCTGTATTGATCTCTCTTTTACTTTTCTACTCGGTCACTCACACCTCAGTTCCTCACCTTTTTACTTGTCACATACCGTTTCTTGTTTCTTATTTCCTTTCTTTCTTTATCTCTTCGCCTCTCCTCCCTTTCCGTATCACTTCTCTCTCCCTGTTTTACGTTTTTGCTCTCTTCCCCCATACACACACACACTCATTTACACATACAAATGACACCTACTATATACCATCCTCACACCCTTACTGCATGCGCCCGTGCAACTGTTTCCCGGCCATTGCCTTGCCCTTTCTAACCCTACCGGCCCCCAAGGTCTCTTTATCCAGAGGCAGCTTCGCATGGGGTCCCTCTGAAAATGACGTGGAGTCGTAAAGCGTCGAACAGCGGGAGGCTATCTCGGTTGGTACGGGGCTCAGAGTGAATGAAGTCTGCCGTGTGGCCTGGTATAAAATGACATGGAGTGGTGGTATGGGATGGTATGTTATGCGATGATGTGTGTTCTGCAAGGTAACCATGGATTAATACTTGGTGTTACCTTTTAATATAGTTTGGGGTTGAGGGGGACATTGCATAGAAGGTGAACCAAATGAAGGTGAAGAGAATAAGATGAAGAAAGAAAGAAAGAAAGAAAGACAGAAAGAAAGAAAGAAAGAAAGAAAGAAAGAAAGAAAGAAAAGAAAATGGACAGCAAAAGACAGAGATAGAATTTTTGGAAAGCTAAAAAGAAAAATAGATTGTGACTTAAAAGAGAAGAATAGAGAAAAAAGAAATACAAAATGAAACTGATAGATTGACAGACAGATAGGTATAAAATTTTTTTAAAAAAGACACAGAAAATGCTGTTTTGAGGTAAGAGAAAAACGTGTTGCGACTGATTTAACGTATGAAGTATGATAGTAAAAACGAGTAGAAGAAAAGAAGAAAGGAAAAGCAAAGAAAGAAAAGGGAAAGAAAGTAAAGGGTAGAGAATGAAAAAGGGAAATAAAAGTAAAAGAAAAGAAATAGGAAAAAGAAAAGAAAGAAAAGGTAAAAACGAAAGGAAAAAAAGAAAGAAAAGGTAAAAACGTAAGGAAAAGAAGAATGTAAAACAAAAAAAAGAACATGGGGAAAAGTAAAGGGTAAAGAAAGAAAAAAATGGGGAAAGAAAAATAACAGAAAATGAATTCGAAAGAAAGAAAGAGAAAAAAGAAAAATTAAAAATGAAAGAAAAAAGAAAGAAAAGGAAAAAAGAAAAAGGCAGGAAAGAAAGAAAAAAGATGAAAATAAATTCGGAAAAATTCATCGTAAGAAAAATAACAGAAGAATGAAATATATTAAATAAAGGTAGACTATTTCCTTCTTTTTTGTCCTTTTTCTTTACTTTTTTCATTTTATTAAAGAAAAAAGAAAAAGAAGTAAAGAAAAATACAAATAAAAAAGAAGGAAGAATATGTCTGTATTGTAAGGAAAATAAATGAATGAAATATTCTAATGAAAAAAAAGTCAGTGGTATCTGGACCTTGTAGGAAAACGAAAATGCAGAAAGAAAGAAAAAAGAAAGAAAGAAAGAAAGAAAAAAGAAAGAAGAAACTGAAAAAGAAAGACGGAAAAAGAAACAAACAAACACATAAGAAAAAAAGAAGGAAAATAAGAAGAAGAATAGGCAGCTCATATATCTATGTGAAAATGTGTTTGTCTCATTGGATGTGCCAATCAAATCTTTATCACAGTGTAGTGATTGGTTTGGACGAACGACAAAAAGCAAATATGGTTTGGCAAAGAAGAAAAATATTAATAGGAAGACTCTCCGAGAAATCTCACGAAAGAATTTCCAGTAACAATCTCACACACGCACACACGTTTCTGTTGACTTTTCGAAGAATACATCCACAGTGAAAATATCTTTCCACGTTATTGCTAACCTAACTATATATGGAACGTAAAACTCTAGTCATGAACAGATATAATTGCATATTTTAGAGCAAAAATATAAACACACATAGCTAATAATAATAATAATAATAATAATAATGATAATAATAATAATAATAATATATATATATATATATATATATATATATATATATATATATATATAATCGCGAAAAAAAAGCTGAGGTTTTGTATTGGTCTTTAGAAAAGCTGTTTAAAAGATTTGAGATTAAACTATTTTCCTAATGTTCAGCCTATAAAAGACATAAGAACCACTCAAGGTAGAGGGTTATAGAAGGACCCCCGCCCTCAACTTCTTATCCTTCGTATTTCTTATAAATGTTTGTCTTTTTGCTCTCCCTCCCACCTTCTGTTTTACCATCCATTGGCGCAAGGCCGTTAGGTAAGACATTTGCTGCTTCCCCTGATCTTACTTGCCTTCTATATGTCATGCGCGAATCAAATTCTCCAAGCTTTCTTTCCTCATTATGTCGAGCTGTCACTTTCTGTGCTTATGTTTTCAATTTGAAAAAGATTGTTAATTCTAACGAGTTCAGGCCAAAAATGGAGTATTGCGGTCATATTTTGGCGGGAACTGCCCTGTCCTGACTTTCCAGTGTCAATTGAGTTCAAAAGCAACACTGATTACTTGTTGGTGACAAATTATTTTCCACCATCTATCCATCCTCTCTCTCTCACTTTCTCTCTCTCTCTCTCTCTCTCTCTCTCTCTCTCTCAAAGGCTGGATGTGGCAAGCTTCTCACTGCTCGATCGCGCCTTCCATGGAAAGTACTCGCACGAACTACATTCCTTGATTCCGCCAGGTATAACATTACGGCTAGGACCCGCAATGCCAATCCCATTGTAGAAAACCACCTATTTTCTCTCCGTATTTCATTGTGAGAAGTAAGTTCCCCTCGAACAGCTTCTTCACACGAACAACTGCCTTATGGAACCGACTCTCTACATGATATTTCCCTTACTATATTATTTTTTAATTTGTTCAAGTCTAGGGTTAAACGTTATCTTGCACACCTATCCTCATAAACAACCACTTAACTACCTCGCATTTCCCCCGGGCCTTGTACAGAGTGAATGTTACTGTAGAGAAAAAGTCTAAAAAACTGCTTTCTTTTAATAATCTTAGAGAATTATTTTTGCCTTCCATAGGCATAGCTGATGCCAGCCTCCAGGAGAATGACTCATGCACCTTCACAGGCTAACATTTTCCGCTGACATGGAATAGAAAGAATATATTATATCAATTGCTAGATCTGGAAAAGTTTGCTCATTCACTTGTGCTAGACTTTTTCTTGCCAAAATCTATTTTACACATTTATGTCTACCATTCGTCCATCCATTGAATATTGCTGTCGCATCTGTTCTACTGCTTCTGTTATTTGTCCTGGCCTAACATCATGGCATCTCTCACTTTTTCACCCCTGTAATCCGTGATATCTGTCCTTCTTTACGGCAACGGATGTTAGACTGTCTCCTCAAGTATGAAGAAGACACTCGAAGCAACAGTGGGCTGCTAAGGATATCATGGACCGAGTGTGTGATCAACGATGAGGTTTTGGAGAGGATGTAAACAAGGAGGAAGCTTATTCTTAACATCAGGAAGAGGCAGCTGAAATTTCTGGGAAAGATAATGAGAAAAGAAGGCTTGTAGAATCTGATACTCACAGGTTGAATAGAGGGAAAGAAGGACAAGGGAAAGCAATGCATGACATACCTATCGGTCTTAAGCGAGTGAATGACAGAACATGGCTTGGGGAATGTAGCAAAGGGACAAAACTTATTGAGAGCTACAAGGGATAGGGAGAAGTGGAGGGCCATGATCGCCGAAGTCCTCTGATGAGATTTTCCTCTTTGGTACATTGACTTTGCAAATTTAAGCACATTACTAGATTAGTTTCATCGTTTTACAGTTCAAATGGCTAGATGTAATCGTATGTTCTAAGCTAACTGTTTCTTTACTCGCACTTCTGGCTTGTGCAAGATTCTCCTAGTTTCTTATTTCCAGACAAATTGGTTCTTCAAAATTTTAAATGCAATGTCAATCATTATCTTTTATCTTCTTAATTCCCGTTCTTTTATTGATCTCTCTCCTTAATAATGTTCTTCTTTTTCTCATATTCTTTCACACCCAGTAACCCCTTGCGCAATAGTAGCTTTATTGCCCTGCTTGGGGTAAATGATTAAATACATTTTCCTTTTTCTTTAAAATTACTTTAAAACTTCCTGTTTGTGCATATGCTTCATCCAAGTTATTCTTATCACGCTTCTTTATTATCTTCATATTGTTTCTAACGAAATTACGTTGATAGGTTTCCGACAGATTGTTATTGATCATCATCATCATCATCCACATCATTGATGTGACGTCTCACTTCAGATCGTAAGCGATCATATCTCCCACACTATCTTGTCCCTAGTGTCTCCAAGCTTCTTTCTTTGTTTCTCTACTGCTATCAATTAGCACAATCTATTTTTTAAACCGATATCACACCGAACAAGGCAGTAAAGCCACTAAGACACAAGGAGTTATTGGGTGTGGAAGAATTAGGAACAGAAACATTAGCAATGATCGGGAAGAAGAAAGAGTAATCAGGAGGACTGTAGATAGCGATTGACATTACATTTATTTTTTTGCAGATTAAGGGTGGCTGGAAAGCATGGAACCGGAATGGAGTTCTAAAAGCGAGAAGTGAGAGAGAATAAACTGTTAGCAAAGAATTTACGGCTACATCTAACCAGCTCAACTGTAAATTGGTGATGCCAGTCTGGTACTGAGCTTAAATTCATACATTGTAGGTACCATAGCAAAGAGCTCATCCGAACAGTTACTATGAAAGAATTTATAAAATGCATAGAGAGGCAACCTTACAGCGGCGGGCAAGGGACAGATTTCGAGCTGCCAGATCCAGGCCAATAATATTTCGAATTTTTCTTTGGATCTTATCAAGGCGCTCAAGGTAGGGGCACGGGACCATATGTAGCTGAAATATTCTAAGCATGGACGAACGATAGACATAGATAATATAGATTCTGGAGCGAAAAATTGTCTCGCACAACACAGTGAACCGACTTTTTTTAGCAGCTGACCTAGCAATGGATTCAATATAGTCTTTACACTTCATGCGAGCTGAGAACTTAAGTGAGAAGAAGCGCCTTCATGGGGGTTAGCATCAACCATTCTGATGGAAATCTGAGAGGTGTCTCTCAGATGATTAATCGTGTGATGTTTAGTTTTGGAGGTGTTAAAATTAACAAGCCATCATTTGCCCCAGTTAACGACGGACTTGAGTTCGTTTTGGACACCGGCTGGCATTTTGACATTGTCAGAGTGATCAGCCTTACTATCAAGACATGTTTCTGTTGTCAGCGTGGATGCCAAATTGAGAGCTAATGTCCCCGGGAAGGTCTTTAATGAAAGTTAAAACAGGATGGAGCCCTGCTGGACACCCACTTTCATTTCACCATTTGACAGGAAAGACTAGATCAGTTCAAAAATGTGTCCGGAGACACCGTACATTTTCAGCTTGTAGAAGAGTTGTATGTCAGAATCTGTCAAAGGCTTTCGAGATGTCTAATTCTATAATCCGAAATTCACTGTTTTTATCTAGAGCATAGACTCTATACGAACTTATCGTCAGGTCATGACCTAAAGAAACGAAAATGAAAGCAGTATTGCTTGTCTGAGAAAAAGCCTTGTAATGAGAAATGATGGACCAATTCAGCATTGATTAGGGCCTCTAGGAGTTTCCCAAAGAAAGGTAGAAGGCTAATAGGGCGAAGTTGGGAGTGCCGGACGATTCGCCAGAGTTCTCAAAAACCGGAACAACAGATGATGTCTTCCAGCATGCATTAAAGGAGGAGGCAGTCAGGTATTTATTATACAGTTTAGAGAGAACAGGAGGCAGTTCGAGAACACACTTGACTATTACAGGGATGCCATCGGGTCCACATAATTGTGGGGATCTAGGTTAGAGATGATAGCAGTAACCATGTATGAATATCACTCAACAGAGATTCAGTTCAAAGTGGAAAGTTAGGGAAGGACACTCCAGACGAGTCAAGACTAGAGTTTGAGGAGAATAACACCTCAACTTGATTGAAGAAGGTGAGATAGAGACATTACGCTTATCTAATACCCTATTACAAATCCGACAATAATCATGATTGCCAAAGTCGTTCGCTCAGCAAACAGGGATTTAGCTCCTTCGAGAACTCACATTTATTACGAGAAGTAACGAATAGGCATCTATTGTGAAGAGAAATTTCACAGTGGCATAGCCGGTTTCTGTGAGCTATAGAGGTCAGGCATACTGGTTTGAACCATTCAGTTTGTTGAGGTTTCACCTGGTATTTCCGAGAACGGATGAGAGTGTCCATGACCCCAAAAGGAACCTAAGTGGCGCAATTTTCAAAGATGACAGTCCATGAGACATCACGAAGAAAATTACGAGGTGAGTCCCAATCAATATGCTGGTAACAGAAAGAGGTCTTATCGATAGGGGGTTCCTATTTAATAGATGATTAGAACGAAATATCAATAGACACCCCAGAGTGTTCCGAGTTACCAAGAGGGCAGTATTGTGAAGTTCGTCAAGAGCGGGAAGAAGAGGTAAGAAATAAATCAAGTAGAGAAGCGAGTTTCTCGGTTTTGCTAGGGAAACGAATAGGGAAGTCTGCGATTTAAGTAATAGAGATGGTGAATGGCAATGGAAAAATTTT